CTTTAATGAGCATACAATTATTTTCACTTAGCATTGTTGTGTTCCAGATGCATCAGAAAAACATCTAGAATTTCCTACCAATTTGACCTGTAGCCCTCATTGGAGAAAGTTATCACAGAAGTGGTGTAGTTCATTTTCAAACTAACGCCAATGTAGCTTGTGCCATGTAGAATTTTAGGTTTCCCGTGGAGACAAAAAGAGTAAGGCAATCCACATTTAACAATTATGCAGAGAAGCTAAGATTCATTCATTCTATCCTGTCAATAAAGAAACATTGGTTCAGGCTGAATGTAGACTTTTCTTAATATGGAAGACAGAACCCTAAGTTTTCCAGTCTGCATGAGTCCCACAACTCTTTGAAAAATGCCCATCAATAAAATTGTCAATGTGGCACAAAGATTTTTTTTAAATTAAATACATGGAAATAATTATATTAACTGTATTCAATTAATTTGTTAATTCAGTTTGCATATAAATTGAATCTGTTTTAGCAATTGGCCTTATTTTATTAATGAAGTAGACTCTGGCATATTACTCAATGTCAAATGTAGCCTTTAGCTTGACAAAGTTGATTGTTTCTGGCTTGACAGAATTTGGTATAGTCTCTTTGCTACATTTCATAACACCTTTTTGTGAACAGGAGATCAGAGTACAAAGGATGCCCAGTCTATGAAAACCTTGCTGGATCAGGGTGAATTGTGCATCTATTAGTTAATGAAGTTTTTTAACTAGTTGGTTTGTGTAGTTAAGTCAATTATACAAAATGTTAACTCTGCAGAAACTCTGATATAAACCTAATTATTTCAATAAAGCTTCAAGATGACATAGTATAATATTTTGACAAGAACAATTTTATTTTAACAAGAACATTCTGTCCTGTTATTTTAAGTTCAAGTTTTTATGTTTAAACAAGAATTGATGTTGGCCTGGCACATGATCTTGCTTTTTCTTTTTTCTTTTCAGATAGTGATAGTAACTGGAATATTCACACCATAATTTCATTTAAGTAATTTATTTACACGTGCTGCCATTTTATTACTGAATCATTAATATGTGAATTTAATCAGATAAGAACTATGTAATGATAAACATGGCAATAAAAGTAGGGCTTTTTATACCCCAAGATGTAGTTTCATATGTAATTTAACTTGCCTTTTGTGCTTTGGAAAGTATATTATCAGAAACAATTCAATATTATAGGCATGTTTTAAAACAGATTGCAATATTTAAAAACTCAAAAAAATCCTTTAATATTAAATATGCTCCTTGAAAAATAGTCAATTTTAGAAGATCTGCTGCTACTGCTGCTGCTGCTGCTCATCCCACTGTGGAAAGCTCTTATAATTGATATGCACGTGTAGCTTAAAATAAAATTCATTAATTCCAACAGAGGATTTTTCCAAGACCCTGACCTTAATACTGAAAGATTTGTTAGTATTAAGCAAAAGTTAATCAGGAATTTCAAATATATTTATTTATTAGTTGATATTATTGTAGCTTATTTACAGTACTCTTAAACCTTGTGACAAAATAAGATAAATACAGAATATAATTCAATTGTTTTATTATTGTTGTAAACATTTATATTAATTATTCATCATTACAATTCCATAAGTTTTCATGTAATATTTTTAATGTTCCAATTTTTCATACAAAAGAATTTATGACCAACAATAAATACTTAGCTAAAATGTAATATACTTCTACTTAATAGTAACCTTTGTAAACTTAAAGTAATAGACCTAGAAGGGCTTCCTGTTTGTTTTATGTATAGGTCCATCAAATACAAAAATTAACTTCCAGAAGAAACAGATAGGTGCTATTACTATATTCTGCAAAAAACATCTTTTTTTGGAAATATAAAACTGCTGTTATAGTGTAATGTAATATAACTATAATAAAATTTATATTTATACTTGTATTCATAAGATATGAACCACTCAGGATACAGGATTATGCTACTGACAGAAACTCAGGTATTTATCCCCTACTTTAGTGTTAGGTATGATTAACAGAAAATGTTTAACATTCCTTTTAACATATCTAAATCATTGTCTATACTATTTCTGTCTTTAAAAACAAGTTTTTAGAAATTTTCAAATCTCGTTTTCCTGATTCAAACAACTATTTTAATGAAAAATACAGCAACACAGAAGACCTATTCCTATTTCTATTGTTTCCTCTTTAAATAATACAGCACAGTAATAAATGCTGACTAAGAAAACTGTACTTTTTTTCCCCTTTTCATTATTGCTACATTTGCATTGCTAGTACAGGCACATATTTAACTCAGTGTGAAATTATATTTTAAATAGCAATGTCCAAATAAATGAGATTTCTAAAACAGTAACAGGAATCCTGTCCTCACAGAAGAAACTTTAGTGGTAAATTATTATTCCTAAATTTTACAGGAATCACATCAACCAGGAAAGACGTTTGGAGATTTGTTAACACTAGAATGGGATAAATACATATATTCTGTTGCTAACATAATCTAATACTGTGTCTTAAGTGGGGCATATCTTATAAATTCAAGACTGACCTCAATCCACACCCATGAACACATACTTGTTGAACAATTTTATTTTAACAAGAACATTGTGTCGTGTTATTTTAAGATGGCAGAGGAGAAATGGCAATGGACATTCCTGTCAGAGGAATGAGGACACCTATTCCAGTGAATCAGCTCCACTGATAGATATGGAAATGCAAAATACTTTTTAAATTTCTAGGATTACATTCTAGCTTAGATGGCAACCTAAATTTAAACTCTTTCAAGCCATCATTTGAAAACAATCAACTTTTTAAAAAGTTCTCTTTGCTTTACTTTAAAAGAAGTAAAACTAATAAAGAAATTTTTGTATTTGCTCCAAGTTGCAATGGCAAAAAAATATTTTTGTCCTCAAATACACGAACTTGGGTTTGAGTTTCAAACTCATTTTATAGATTTACACATCTGATATTTCCCATTTCACTCCAATATCTCTATGCATATAATTTGGATGCCTAAGCTCATTGCATTAAAACTATGACTTTTACCCATTTTTAATATTTAGTGTCTAACTGCCAATTGCAAATTAGAGCTACTATGTTTGAAGAGAAGGGCTTGATATCCATTTTGAGGCTGCTCCATTAATTAAAATCACATTCACATTTTCTTTTATTAGCTATAGTAATAAATCAAGAATAGTTGTTCAAAGGAAGTGTGTGTGTATTCAAAATTCCAATTTCATCCTGATTCCCATTTTTAAATTAAATATTAATAACTTTACTTGAGATAAATTATTCTCCTTATGTGAAATCTACATGATATGTTTCATGTGAATTTTCATGTGCTAGCTTGCCTATTAAGTTAGCAATGTAATAAAATGCTCAGCTCTCATAACAAGGGCATTTTAAGGTGAATTGCATTCATATGCCATCTATTTACAGAAAGAGTATGGGGTTTGGCAAAGCTACATGCTGAGCAACATAATAAGATATTTGTACAAAGTACAAGTTACTGATTATTATTGTGTTTTATTTTTCTATGATTTCCTAAGAGGCATTATCAAGTCTTACAAAAGGAATATGCCTGTTTACTAAGATATTTATTAGCAAATAAAAGTATAGTACTCGTGGTTACTTCTCAGTGTGTTTGTTCACCTAAACTGTGTAATTTTAAAATATCCTACAGATTAGAGAAACCAGCTATTTTTATTAATGCACACATTACAGATAATAAACTCAGAATTTTTAGAACCAGATAATGCAAATGGCTATATATTTTAAAAAATTAACATATGCACTGGATCAAAGCAAATCCAAGAGCCATTGTTCCCTGTCCTGTATTATCCCACCTGTTTCACATAAGGTCAGAAAATGTGAACTAATGTAGCCTACACTGCATCTGACCTTGAACTACAGATTTAAAAGCAAATGAGTAGAGCAAAGTCTAGTTTGGCTATGGGGAGTGGGTCTAATCCTTCCTTGCTACTATTAACTTGGGAAATAGAGCTAAGAAGCTTGACTTTTCTCTAGTTCTTTTATAGAAAGAGATGTTATAAATCTAGCACAATCTGAAATCTTGGTATTACCTCTAGAAATAAACTGCAATTAAACTGATCAGGGCTTCATTCTTTAATGAGTAAACCTACCAATACAATTGGATTGGTGGAACAGTTGCCATAAGACAATTCAAGAGCAGCTGACTTTAAAGCAGCATGTTAACAATCTGCATCTTGGTTATTACTAAGAGGGAAAAAATCACATTTTCTAGGCACAAAATAATTCAAACATTTTAGAATCTTGCAAACTATCGGCAAATTGCCCATTATTACCTGGAGTGGAAGTACAAAAGCTAGAAAACACTGGTATACTTCCTATAGAAAATCTTAAGTACTGTTTGGGCATGGTTCTTCCAGACTCACGTGAGTACAATTCATATTAATGTAATTTATTTTGTCAAGCATGTATTAGATATAAGTATAAACATGGTTATTAATACATGAAATGGACAGGAATAAAATGGAAACATTAGAACAGGGACTTGTAGGCAGTTGGTGCACTTATGCACACCCCTTACAGACCTCTTAGGAATGGGGTGAGATCAAGTCTAAAGTTAAAGTTTTGGGGTTTGGGGAAGAAATAATTTTACCATAGTTTACCATTAGTCAATCCTCAATTTCAGCGGGAAAATTAAATTCAACAATATTCTATAAAGCAAGCAAGAATGCAATGCTGTACTTTCTTTCCTCTTTCCCAGTACAATATGCTCAGTTATTATTACAGAAGGTAAATGCCCCTGAATTATTGTGCAAATCGATGCCACACAATATGCAAAATAAGTAATAAAGGGGAATTGCAAAGGTTAAAAACAAGGAAACCAAGCTGTTAAGTCTGCAAAAAAAATAAATCTTTATTCAGAAATGCATTAGCAAATAGCAGATATGGCCAAGAAACACAATCACATATTAATACAAGAACACGGATAAACCATGCTGAAAGATGAACAGGAATGATTTAGGGAAAGATCCCTATGCACACCGAATCAGAAACGGAGAAGAGAATTATAAAATAAACGCCCATTTAAGTTCAGATGTGGATTTTTGTTGCCTTAAAACATTTTAACTCTTCAAGCCGCCAACACAATTGGCAACTCTAACATACAGCAGGAAGAGGAGGGGCTGTAAGTAGGCGCGCAATATAATTTGGTAGATTAATGCTTGGAGTTAATAGAATGAATGCGGTTAATTTGCGTTATACGTATTAACAGGCAGGCAGCCGTCTTTCTCAATCACATCTCTGACACCCTCCCTCCTATCAAAATCCAACCCTCCCCTCGCTCCTATGCAGACATATTGAGTTTTTAAACGTTTCATTTAAAGAAGACATTGACCAGGCGCCAAATGTGGAAGGCGGGGGGGCAGACTATCGGGATTATCGTTCCTTCCCACGGCACTTCTTCGTCACCGTTACATTCAAACCCTGGATCCGTCATTCTGTATTCCTCCTGTCACGAAAAGCCTCAGGGCGGAAGGTGAGGCCTTCTGTGGCGGATCAGCCCCGCTTTTTTAATCTAGGCAATGGCGATGCTTCACCCCGCAAAGAACCGTCAGAAGTTCACCGCCACCCTGGACTGGAAAAGAAGCTCCGCCTCGAGGAGGGCGTGGCTTACAGAACGGTTCTGTTTCCGAGGTAACGACGTAGGCGTCGGGGCAGGGGGGGAAGAGAAGGGGGTTCTTGCTCCTTCAAGGCCCGACGGACAGCTGTTGTTTCGTAGCGTTTGCTTTGGTGAGTATAGTAGAAGCGCGGATTCCTGCTCCTTTAAAAAGAGAAGGGGAGGGTGAAGGTACGTCGGGTTGAGTGTTTTTCTTGTACTTATAATTTAAAGTTATGTCATCTTTCTAAGCAAGATTAAGTCACCTGGCTTTCCCCATCCCATTCCACCCCTCCTTTATTTGGACGAACCCTGGGAGAGGATTAGGTTATCTATCCAGGGGTCTCCAACCTTGGCCACTTTAAGCCTGGAAGACTTCAACTCCCAGAATTCCCCAGCCAGCAAAGCCGCCAACACAAAGCTGCAAAGCTGGCTGGGGAATTCTGGGAGTTGAAGTCCTCCAGGCTTAAAGTGGCCAAGGTTGGAGATCTATACGAAAGAGCGGGATCGACTCACGCTAACCGGCCGGCTTCATGGCAGATCAAGGATTTTAAATCCGGGTTTTACCTCGTGAACTTTGTGTTGTTCTTTCAAGCGGCTCCCCGGATGCGTAGGATTTAAAGGCGCCACTGGTAATAGATGTTATAATGTAAAACTCAAATTCTTTTTAATAAGGCATGAAACTCTTATTTGTGGGTATAATAATTATTGGATTCACTTCTTGATCCTTGAATATTTTTAACAGTGCACTGTATAGAATGTTCTGATTTTGGTTAAACTATAAAACAAGAAACATGGATCTACTTCTCTTTTTTAACAAATAAAAAACTAGCTTCACTGCACAATGCTTTATGAATTGTAAAATCACATTTATCCATTGACAGGAATATGTTGTGCTTTAACAAGAAGATAAGTACCTAGCCTGTTTTGACCAGAAGACTTTCCAAATAAGCAGCTTATCTTGTTCCTTAGGCTAACCAACCTGCTGTGACATGATTTGCAACAATTTCTTCGCCAGATGCTTCTGATTTAATTGTCTTAGAATCTTTGCCTTCATGTTCATCTATAGTAATTTCAATTTCAATTAATATCATCTTATCTCTCTCCAACCTTTAGATACACAAATTGTCTGTGCCATTCAATCAAAATTATGGGATTATTTGATAAACTGGCAAGTTGGCTTGGTCTGAAAAAGAAAGAAGTTCATGTTCTGTGCCTTGGATTAGACAACAGTGGTAAAACAACAATTATCAACAAGTTAAAACCATATAATGTAAGTAGACATTTTTAGTTTATTACCAATTCATTGTATATTGTTGAAAAGCTGATATATATAACTAGAGGTATTTGTGGAAACATGGAATATTTAATACATTGCAATATTTAATTTCAAGACAAAATTTATATATACCTCTTTTAGAAGGAGTAAATTGTAAGTAAACTTTTCATGTTTGTACGGTTTCCAAAAATAAATGCTAATAGGAATTGTATTTAAATTTGTAAAACTGAACTTAAAAAATATTCTTTGGACTGTAAACTTTAATCATCTAATGAATAAATAACTTTAATATACAGTAGAATTAAAAAAACATTGTGAAAGTATTAATTACTAAGATCTCAGACTCATTGGTTCAGTGTTAATATTGGCTATTTATCCTCTAAGGAAGAAATAATCAATATTAACACTGAAGCAATTAAGAACTAATAGGTCCATTTTGCTGAGGACCATTAGCAGTTTTATGACTTTTAAACTAGTGTTGCATGGTAAAGTAAGTTAATGCTATTTACTGTACATACATAGGGGTCCTAATTATACAGGTAGTTGTTGACTTAACCATAATTGAGCCCAGATTTTATGTTCCTAGGTAAGAAATTTGTTAAGTGAGTTTTGCCCATTTTATGATTTTTCTTGCCACATATGTTAAGTAAATCACTGGAGTTGTTAGTAACACAGTTAAGTGAATCTGGCTTCCCCATTGAATTAGCTTGTCAGAAAGTCACAAAAGATACTTACATAACCCCGACACACTGCATATGAACCAGTTGTCAAGCATCTGAATATAAATCTGTGACCATGGGGATGTTGCAATGGGCATAAGTTGCTTTTTCAGTGCCCTTGTAACTTCATACAGACACTAAATGAACTGTTGTAAGTTGAGGACTACCTATAGGCAGCTTAATGTATTTGCAGTTGATATATATGGACCAGAACTAATTATAGTAAAGATTTTGGCACAATTGTGGGTTTGGAAATGCGATTCTTATCTGTCTGCCACTTTGTATATGTATAAAAGGATTCATTTGGCCTCAAATACATTTTCCCAGTAACCTGCTGCTGTTTTTACCAATCTGCTCAATCTATATTTTCCTGTATCTTTTCAGTATTTGCCACTCACCCCCTCATCAACGCTCCCACTTTTCATTCCCATACACAGCTACCAGTCTTTGCAGTGCTTTTTTCTTTTCCAGCAGGTCATTCATCCCTGATTTTTTTCACAATATACCCTCCAATCAGTCACTGGTCTTCTCTAATCCCTATTGGTTTCAGACTTCATTATCTGCAGTTTTATTATCCATAATTATATAGTCATAAAATATTTCTCTAGTCTTTTTAGGGTTGCCAACAGAAAGGGAGGGGGGAGCAGTGTAACAGCTTGCAAAACTGAAACTGCATTCCATAAATGTTTTCAAAGATAGTAACTAGGTGACTGAAGTTTCTGCCACGCAAAATTCTAACTGGAGAGCATGATTGATGACTCTTGGCTATGGATGTGTCCCATTGGAGAATATGAATTACGATATACCCTGGGGGTGGGGGGGAAACCAGGGTCAAAGGTAACAATGAATTGTGTGTCTCAGAGTCGACTACACCCAGGCAGTGCCGGCATGTTAACTCCCAATAAATCCTCTTTAAGTTTTGGAAGTTTGGCTCAAGACTCATGATTTAAATGGGGATAGCTGCCGGAATCCTGACATAAAGGGTAGAATGAAATCCCAATGAAAATTAAGTACGTGTATATGTAATGTAATAATATGTGCTTGTAAGCTTTTTTTGGCTTGGTATTCCATTATGGATGTCCTTTTTAGGGATATTCAATACCACATTAATATCTTTATTTGACTTATTTTTTAAGACAATTTAAGATTTCAGTCCTATCTTTTTAAAGAATTGGAATACTCTGGGTTAAAGTGAGTATATTTGTACAATTTATATTCTGTTTCACATACTGATTGCTGTGGAATTTTATGTTTTTACTCTTCTATGCAATTAATCCTGAGCATTTTGTTTTTCTGTAGCTTAAAATAAATAATAAATCATTCACTCTATAATATTTTTGGATTTAAATGAGCAGTGACTTGTTTGATTATATCTCTGTAAAAGAATATTTAAGTCATGAAAGCATTCAGATAATTTATATCATTATAAATAATGATTGATTTGTTAAAGAAACAATTTAATAACTACCAAAAACATAGAAAGTATATGTGTGCTGTATTTAAATGCAAAATACAAAAAAGTTGAGATTTACTGGTTCCTAAACATTTCAATGTTTCTTACCAGTAAATCATCTTCCGGTTAAGAAGATGAAATATTTATGCTTGACAGATCATAAATATTTTTATATTTTGAAATTGGTGCATCATTCATTCTATCTTTCTCAAGTTAGGAGATTCCACAATGTACTTAGATTGCAGGAAAACACACTAATCCCTATAGTTTGTGAGGAACACAGAAAGAGTACATTAAATATTGGATCTACATCCACAGTGTTGATGACTAACATTTAGATAAGTGATTGAGACAGATCCAGTGCTTATATTCTTTACTACTTTTCTCAACTACATACTTATTTGTTTCAAAAGTGAAGGTTGTAATTGAATTATCATAAGATAAACAACAGTATCAACCCTGATGAACACCTGCTACAGAAGTTATAGGCAAATATTTAGGCTTGAAATAAATGTATTTATTTATTTATTTGATTTCCACACCACCTAATTCCAGACCAATTGTTGACAGCTCATAATAAAACACGATAAAAAAGGTGGGAACAAACAACAGAGAGATACATACAAAACATAGTCAATAAAGGCTCATCCAAATTAATATAGCACCTGAACAACTCACATTATAAGATAACAGGAATAACATAACATTGTTGAATACTAATAGATGAAGTAAAATTAAATGTAAGGTAGTGTATATACTATTGGACTGAATAAAATCAAATTAAAAAGCCATTATGCAGAGTAAAAATTAGGGACAAACTTAAAAGATAAATATTATTTCAATTAAGAGCAGGGGTGGGTTTCTACCAGTTCTGTCTATCTCTGTAGAACCAGTATGTATGCTGATGTTTTTGCCCACCCACCTGCCCGAGCTCTTACCTGACCTTTATTTCCTGCTGTTTCAACTTCAGCTGCCATGCGAGGCACAGCTGCAGTTTAAAAAGCAAGAAAAAAGTGTTTTTTCAAAGGCTGCTTCTCTGCAAGCAGTGTGCTGATGACGATTTACAGGCGCGCGCCCAGTGTGCAAGGAAGCACATCGTAAATCATCGAACCTCGTAAATCACCGAACCGGTAGTTAACTCAGTCAGATCCCACACCTGATTAAGAGAGAATATATATTACTGATTTTAAATATAAAAATAATTTGTTTTTAATTCAAATTTTTTTTGCATAGGCTCAAGCTCAAGATATTGTTCCTACAATAGGATTCAGTATAGAGAAATTCAAAACATCTAGGTAGTATGCTTTTATTCCAATATTTTATAGTTTTTATACTGTATATAATTATGCATTAAATCATTAAAGAAAATGTTTCAGATGTAACATTTAAAGTGACATATTTTCATTCTGTCATGTCCTGAAACACATAAGTAAGTCTGAATTGTTTATGTCACATGTGAAGAAAGTTTTAATGAAAAACTTTCTTTTTAAGAAACCCAAATCTCTGGGAAGAAAAGTTTATTAGAAAAATGGAAAACAACCTTGATACATACATTTTCCGATAAAATCAGCATCGCTACAGTGTCTACCTGAACTTGCTTTTTGAATAAGATCTTGGATTCAAGACATGTTAAAGATGCTTTAGAGAAACTATTGGAGACAAATCATGCGGCTAATTTGTTTAGATGTTCTTAGGCAGACCCACATTGCTTCTTCATTTCTAACACTATTCTCGTAGTTTAATAGGAAGTGTTGGATAAATGAATAACTTTCTTTGCAAGCAAAACACACCCATCTGTTATGTTATGGACATGACCAGTAAATCTGAAAGATACTTTAGAGCTGGGCTCATCTTCCTGACCATATGATGATTGTCTATTAAAGCTACTGATTAGCTTTTAATAGTTAAGGTGTTGAATAAAATTATAATCTGGGAACATGTCTTTTTTTTTTAAGATGAATACTATTCAAGCAGTTTAGAAATCTGGAACTAGATGTGATACATTTCAGATTAGAAGCAACACTAAATTATATCATATAGTATATAGCCATATTTTGGACTGCAGGTTAACAAGATTACAGAGGTAGATGTTGTTCAAGGCAAATTTTGGGAGCATGGAATGGAATACAAGAGTGATGAGAAATAGTTTTCTTCTTCTAAATGTAAAGTGCACAGCACTGAGTAAGACAACAGTATGAAGATCCAATTAAGTTCTTTTCTTTAATAAGGATTATTCCTTTGTATAAAACTGTTTTTAATTTAGTTTGATACTTATCAATAAAACTCACACATCATATTAAATCAAAGGTCAATTTTAAAAATGTGTACCAGTCAGAAAGTTGTTATTACACTGAATTAGCATAATATAATTTATGCAAGATTGCAATCCAGAATGCGTCACAGATCTAATGCTCTATTTTATTGTTTCTTTACAGTTTATCATTCACTGTGTTTGATATGTCAGGTCAAGGTAGATACAGAAATCTCTGGGAACATTACTATAAGTAAGTCCATTTTTAACAATAAAACTTAGTTGTACATTCTTCTGTTATTTAGTTAAAACAGTTTGCAGAGTAAAATTATAATTAAGTTTCTCTTAGTCTTGTCTGCAGCATTCTCAAGCATGAACAAAGGGAATGAATGATGAACTGGAATAATATAAATACATATAATCTGTATAAAAACCTCAAATCTGGGAATAATTGGGTAATATGTGAAAGGAAGTTAATTATCTGTTCCTGTGAAAATTATTGCTGTAGCAGCAAATACTAATTTAATACCTTTTAAAGACATCATCCTTTAAAATGCCCAAATTAAATTCCTTTTTTCTAGCAATCCTGGCTAGTACAAGTAGTCCTGGATTTATGACCATTCATCAATTCACCATTCATTAATACTGAACGAAAGGACTCATGACTGATACCCAAAATTATGGCCATTGCACTCCTCTTATGGTCACATGATCACAAACTGGGCACTTGGTAACTCATTCACTCTAACGACTGGCTGCCAAGCATCCTGCAATCATACAATTTCCATTTGCAATCTTCCCTGCTCATTTTCCCAGAAAGTGCACTCTTCCACACTGTTCCTGACTTATGCCACACCTCCATGCATCCTCCCCAACCTGCATGGCACCCAGAGGTGGTATTCAACTGGTACACACCAGCTCGGATGAACCAATAGCGGTGATTTGGCATGGGACCCCTTTGGACAGCTGGTAAAAATAAATAACGGCCTTTGGTTGTGGTCTTTAAAGAAAGAAAGAAACCAGGGTTGCTGATGATCCTAAACAATTTTCAGAGGTATCTTGTTTTATTTAGTTGTTCCTATTATCAACACGATGCAAATAAGGGCAATTAAAGAGCATGTACCAATATGTGGCTTTTCTGTGTAATTCTGAGGCATAGCTTATAACACTTTTTTGCCTCATAGCTTCTTACCATCTTACTATTCAGATTTTTCACAACATGTAATGCGTGTCTTTTATTTTTATATTATACAGAGATTGTCAGGCCATTATTTTTGTCATTGATAGCAGTGACATACTAAGAATGGTTGTGGCCAAGGAAGAACTTGACACGCTCTTGACTCATCCAGGTAAGGAATCTTTTTCAGAATAAATCAATCGCTTTTGAAATAATTCTACTTTACTTTTTTTTTCTTTGTGATTAAAATATGTGCATTATTGGTATATTTTTCATTATAACTATGAAATGTATTTAATTCAATATTAAAACTTCTGAAATTTATTTTATTAAACATTAAATATTTTTATTAAATAAGAAATTGAGTTTAACTTGCAGTAAAAACTTCTAAAATTAGACAATTTTTTAACTGAGTATGTTCCACCAAGTCAACTCTTAACAATATATAGATAAACTTCTTCTAGGATAGCCTGTCCCCAGTTTGGTTCTTTAGATCTTTCAACATTGCACCAGTCAGGGCTATAATAAAATCCATCCCCCTTGGTGCAGGTGCTCCTCTCATCTTTCCTTACACATTTTCCAGCATTGTAGATTTACTTAACAGAACTAGGTTTTTACCTAGGGTATCTATGCATGATCATTTGTGCCTCAAATGAGAATTCTGGATTTATTTGAACTTTTCTTTGTTTCTCTGTTTTGTATGGTATTATCATGATTCTACTTCAAGATCACAGTTCAAAAGCATCTAAACTTTCTATCCTGCTTCTTCAGAGCCTAAGTTTCATTTCTATAGAGCAGGGGTGTCAAACTCAATCTCATTGAGAGCCACATCAGGTTGTGTTTGACCTTGGGGGCGGGGGTGGACAGGGAAGGGCCAGGGCCAGCTAGACGTCACGTGTGATCAAATGCCAGTTTTGTTAGTTTGTTTTGTTAACACTCTGCCAGCAAAAACGGAACTCATGAGGGCCATGGGCGGCCTTCCCAGGCTCCGTTTTCACTGGCAGATGCACCACGGGCCAGTCCTTCCAGGGCAGCCCTGTGGGCCAGATCCAAACACCTTGCGAGCCAGATACAGTCCACAGGCCTTGAGTTTGACACCCCTCCTATAGGGGATCACAGGAAAACTATTGCCTGCACAATTCTGATCTTTGTAAATTGCAACATCTGGGTATCTACTGCTAGTTTGCAGTGTATTTCTTGATAGCTGGTTCCTTTAATTTGATAGTTAATCCTGAAAAGCAGAGGCTGTCCACTACTTCAGTATCTTAATTGTCCATTCTAAGGCTAACTGCTGTACCTATTTCATTAGTTTAACATAAATCATAATGTGAACGAGCCACATAGTTTGTATCCTCCCAGTCTGATTTAACATTTCTTTTTAAAGCAATTAATCATTGCTTTTCCCATATTCTCTAATACATTTATTCTGGTTTATATGTGCTATTTTGTTATTTAGAAAACAGTACATTAATTTCATATTTTGGAGATTTGTATTGAAAGAAGAGTTTTAAAATGTTTTTACTTGAACAACAGGATATATTGGTGCATTTAGAAATGTGTTTTCATTTGCAATAGGTTTTGTGCTTAAACATGCGAGTATTTTATTTATTTTATTTATTTATTTATTTTATTTGCCAATTGTTTACAAGATAATAAGTATAAGTGTATACATAGTTGTGAATACATGAAATGGGTACATATAAGAAAAATAAAAGAATAAGAGAAACAATAGGACAGGGTCGGTAGGCACGTTGGTGCGCTTATGCACGCCCCCTACAGACCTCTTAGGAAAGGGGTGAGGTCAATAGTAGACAGTCTAAGGTTAAAGTTTTTGGGGTTTGGGGAAGAAACTACAGAGTCGGGTAGAGTATTCCAGACATTGACCACTCTATTGCTGAAGTCGTATTTCCTGCAATCAAGTTTGGTGAGGTTTACTTTGAGTTTGTACCTATTGTGTGCTCTTGTGTTGTTATGGTTGAAGCTGAAGTATTCACTGACAGGTAGGACATTGCAATGTATGATTTTATATACCATGCTTAAATCAGACCGAAGACGGCGTAATTCAAGGTTTTCTAGTTCTAGAATTTCAAGTCTGGTGGCATAAGGTATTCTACAACGAGTAGAGGAGTGGAGAACTCTTCTTGTGAAATATTTCTGGACTTTCTCAATTGTGCTAATATCAGATACGTAATGTGGGTTCCAGACTGATGAACTGTATTCGAGTATTGGTCTAGCAAATGTTTTGTATGCTCTGGTTAGTAGTGTGATATTACCAGAGAAAAAGCTACGTAGGATTAGGTTAACAACTCTTAATGCCTTTTTGGCTATGTAGTTGCAGTGGGCTCTAGCACTTAGATCATTAGAGGTGAGTATTCCAAGGTCCTTTACAGAGCTTGGGTCATCAACAAGTTCTTGACTATTCAGCTTGTATTTTATTTTCTGATTTTTTTTGCCAATATGTAAGACAGAGCATTTATTTGTTGAGATTTGAAGTTGCCATTTGTTTGACCATTCTGATACATAGTCAAGATCTTTTTGTAGGGTAGCAGTATTGTCTGTGGTATTGAACAGCTTTACATCATCAGCGAAGAGAACGCAATTGCTCTTGATATGATCACAGAGGTCGTTTATGTAGAGTATGAAGAGAGTTGGTCCTAGAACACTGCCTTGGGGGACACCACTATTGACAGGTACTGGATTTGATAGGACGCTCCCGATTTTGACCATTTGTTGTCTGTTTGACAGGAATGCTTCTATCCAGTTATTCAGTTGTCCAGAGATACCATAGGATTTTATTTTTAGGAGTAGTTTGTCGTGTACCACTGAATCAAAGGCTTTACAGAAGTCTATGTAGATTGCGTCTATTGCTTTGCCCTGGTCGAGTTGTGTCGTCCATATGTTTTTGCAGTGTAAGAGTTGTAGATTACAGGATAGTTTTTTTCTGAAACCAAATTGTTTATTGAAGAGTAGGTTATTTGTCTCTAAGTGGAGGATGATGGATTGGTTAATAATAGATTCCATGACTTTACAGGTGATGCAGCATAAGGAGATTGGCCTGTAATTTTCAACTAGGCTTGGGTCTCCCTTTTTGAAGATGGGGATGACTGTGGCTTGTGACCATAGGTTAGGCAAGGAGCTGGTCCTGAAAGATTTTTCAAAGATTATGCTTAGAGGTTTGGCTATGGCAGTGGATAGCTTTCTTAAGAAGTAGGCACATATTCCATCCGGTCCAATAGATAGAGATGGTTTTAGATTGCGTAGTGATTTTTCAACATTGTCTTCTGTGAAATCGATATGTATTATTAGATCATTATTGTTATCTGTGGTACGGCTAGGAAATACTGGGCATGATCCATTGCTGTTTACAAATACTGAGCCGAAGAATGTGTTAAAGATGTTGGCTTTAATGGTGTCGTCGTTGCAGTCTTTACCATCAGGTCCTATAAAGGGAGGGATGGACCTTGAGTCTTTTAGTTTGTTGTTTACAAAATTGTAAAAAGCACGGATGGAATTGGTGCTTAGAAGGTTTTCCTCTTGTTTAATGTGATAATTGGTGCATTCGGTCTTTATCTGGTGGCATAAATTTTTGTATCGGTTTTTGAAATTGGTAACGTGACCAGATTTGTTTTTCCTCCAGAGTGATCTCTTTTTGGATTGAAGTTTCCTTATTGATATGGGTAATCTGCTTTTTTGTTTTGTTTTTGGAGTTGTTGTTGGAACATATAGTTTGATGACTCTTTTGACTTCAAGTAAAAATATGTTGTAATGGTCTTCAACAGTATTGCATCCAGTGAATAGAGATTGCCAATCCAGGGATGAGAGATCGTTGTCTATAAGATCATAGTTGCCTTTTTTGAAGTTACAATTGGGGATTACATCATTGTGGTGATTTTTGTGTGGACGTATGTTGAGACAAAAGTCAATCATATTGTGGTCACTGCTGGAAAAGGGTTCTTTAGTTTGTATTCCGTAAATTAAATTCAAACTATTGCAGAAGATGAGATCGAGGCAGTTGTTTAGTCTAGTGTTGTTGGTTACTAGTTGTTCCAGTCCCAGATTTGTAATAGCGTTGTAGAAGGTTGTGTGTATGATTTCAGTTGTACAATCATTTAGGGTCCAGTCAATATGAGGTAGATTGAAATCACCAAGAAAGATAAAAGGGTATGGGCAGGATGCAGCCCATGTTAGTAATGTATTTAGCTTGTTTACATGTTCGATGTCATAATCAGGTGCTCTGTAACATAGTAAGAATCGAATTGTGATATTTAAGGATAGTTCACAGATGATGGTCTCAGGAAGAGCAAGCTCCTGGGTAACTTGGATATTTTTTAGATGTAAAATTTTTTAGAGTATGGAAGATTATTTAGAGATTCCTTCAGAAATAGACATTCCTAGAGTTTTCATCTTGAGGGTTGTAGTCTGTAAGGAAGATACTGACTAGTGAACAATGTATGTTTCCTATTTCTATTTAAAACAATTTTCATATATATAGTGACAATTTAACAAATGATTATGTTCTAGATCTCAAACACCGCCGAATACCAATTTTGTTTTTTGCAAACAAGATGGATCTTAGAGATGCTGTATCCTCTGTTAAAGTCTCTCATTTACTGACATTAGAGAACATCAAAGACAAGCCATGGCAGATCTGGTAAAATTTTGATTTTATAACTATAACTAAAATAATATTTAATATGAATTAAATACATCATTATATTTTGCATTTGGATTTTGAATGTTCTGGTGTTTGTTAATGTAAATAAGCTTATGAAAGCAAATTAATTTGATTCCATTGTGCTTTAGTTTTCATGCATACTAGTTAATAATGTGCTATCCAATAAATACATTTACTCTCCATAATTCTTATTTGGAAAGTGTTATTTTCATTAATGATGAATATGCAAAATTTCACTGAATACAAGGTTTTGTGCAAAATGAGGAAGAGTTGATTTCTTCCACGCATATATGATCAAATACCCACTGTATGTATGTATGCATGTATATATGTATTTTAAACACATATATACATATACATATACATATGGGATGGGGTTGAAAGAGAACCTTCTATTTATATTTTTGGGTTCAATTTGTAGCTCTCTAAATTTAAATAGTTTCATTGTGGCTTACATTCAACTATAAAATGTTATTTCATATGACATAACAGAATGCAGCATTAATGCATAAAAATTCACAAAAACAGCTTATAAAATGTGTATTAAAATATTCATTTTAAAAACTCACAGCATGCATAATGAATAAAATTATGAATAAAATTGAATTATGTATGAGCAGCTACTAGGATTACTAAACCTATGGCCGGATATCTAGATTGTTTAACCATTAGGCAGCAGTGTCCTGGGTTGCAATGTAGATTAGCCTCCTCGTGGTGCACCCAGGCAATGTGACTTTGTCATTGCTAAATACACATTCTAGCTGCTGGACCTGACAAGGCTTTCCCAGCAAGAAGCAGCATGAATACTGAAAACTATAGAATATTTTAACCCTCTGCTTTATCATTGCTATTTTTCTTGGCAGATGTACAAAATTACAAAGCACTAGGTTGCAACTGCCCCCAAATTTATGGGATTTGTTTGGGGCCTAGAAGCATTGTTGGAAATAAAAGAAGACATTGGCAGCTGGCTCTTTGATGCTAATTTTTTTGATTAATTTTTAAAGTGTTATTTAGATATAAAGAACAGTAGGGCAGATAACTTGGCACGCACCAGAGTAGACATGTAGAGAAAATCCAGTGTGTTAACTTCTTTAGCAGATCAGCAAGCAGGAAGTAACTTCACACTTGATACCATCGATGTTTGAAACTAGATCTTATAACTAAAAACCATTGTTTATGTGTGTGATTCACTTGAAGCTGATTAATTTTAAAAATATTTCTTCAATTGCTTATCACTTACAAGAATGTGTTCTTTCAGTGCTAGTGATGCTCTTAAAGGAGAAGGATTGCAAGAAGGTGTGGACTGGCTGCAAGGTATGTTTTAATTTTGCCTTCCTTGTTTTTCTTTCCACAAGCCCTCCTTTTTAAAAAATATTTTCCATCATTTCATTTTGTTTTTTCCTGCCTATTTCTGCTATCAGATCAAATTACACAGTAAGTATCCTTACAATTATTTGGATGCTTCTTTCAATGAGACATTGTCATTCAAACAAGGTTATCTCCATTTAAAATTGTTGATTAGTATATCAGCAATACTTTTATTTCTGTGATTAAAGTCAAAATAATATAAAAATACTCATTTCCTTTTTTAACTTAATTGTAAATAATGCAATAAAAAGAAGAATAATGGTTTTAATTTCTGGTCTAAGTGATAGCTTTTGTTTAAAGCAGCTCAAAGTATGTATGTATGTATGTACACACACAAGGGTCTCACAGTTATCACAATTTTTAAGGTGTGTTTTTACTGTTTCCTTTGTTAAAGCATCTTAAAATGGGTTGCAGAATACAACACACTAAAAACATTATAAAAATCAAAAGCATTTACAAATATATAAAAACCAAAAGCAGTTAAAAAAGAACGGAACAACAAATACTGAACCAGAAGCCATTTATAGAACTTCATTCCAATATAATTGTTCATACTCATATTACAAATATGCTGTATGTGAATTATTTCATCACTTCCAAGGCTAGCAATTCCATTAGTCCTCATAAGCTATGTACTTAAGCAATTCAGAAAATATGATTTTGCTACTCCTGCCCTTACTTGAAGTTTGCTTGCTTTAATATTATCTACAAAGCAATAGTGTTGCTTGAGCTGCCATAACAAAAGAGCAGCTAGAGGCATTTTTCTCAAAAGTAGCTTTTAGGAAGAGGCACTGGGCCTCAAGTTATTTTCCCACAGCAAGCAGAATATAGCAGATAAATTACATTAAAAGATCCTTCGGCTCCTTTATATCATTGTTAAAAGAGTTAACAACAGAATAAGATATTGAAAATGAGCTTTGGCTTTGGCAATAAAAATATACACGTTTTGAAAAAGAATAATTGGACAGCAACTAACAGTTTCATATAGTTGGTTAACACATTATTCTAAAACGTTCCAATCTTAAGTTTAAAAAAACACCACTAGATGTCAGCAAAGATTGAAAATTGAGTTGCAGAGAAACCTCATAAATAACTACAATATTTATTATATGGAAATTGAAAACTTTAGTAAATATTTTGAATTTTGAAATAATATGTCAGAACTGTCTATCAAAAATTAGGCTGCTGGACGTTTCTTGCAAGAACCACAAAATATATAAACATATTTGTACATTACTCCTTAGTAGCCTAAATATTTCTGAATGGAGAGGTGGAAATTATTTGATGGTATCTTATAAGAAAACTGCATTTTAATGTGAATTTTTATTTGTTTTTATCTAGATCAGATCCAAATAATGAAGACATGAAAAGCTAATATGCGAATGGAAATATTAAAGATAATTTATAGATACTGAAGGCCTTGGAGACAAAAACTTTAGGCCTGTGTGTTTTCTTGTGTTGGTTTTTATAAAAGCCTTTAAAAATAAAATAGTATTTTTGCTAATAGTTCATAATGGCCATAATGTGACCAGAGATTCAGGTGAGGTCAAATAAAACAATGAAATAATTGTATACTATTCAAAAACCTTTGGTATATTTTTGTTTGATTTTTAGTTAGAACTTAGGGGAAAGCATATGATATCTTAACAAAAATGATTACTGAAAAGCTTTGCATAGTGTCTTACATTCAAAACTTCACGCTGGCCATGTCTCTTCCTGAACTAAAATTAAATGTAATAATCTTAAGAAAGAAAGAAAAATGCTGTAAAACTTAAACTTAGTGCAATTCTTGTTGTTTTAAACTTTTTTTCCTGCAGCTGAAAAGACTCTGCTTTTGTCACTTTTCTTCCCCATCCATTATTTTTTATCATCGTGTTGTATTGTCTAGCCCATAGATCATGGTTTACCCTAACTCTTGTGTACAAAATAACTGCAAACCATAGTCTGAAATTTGACTATAAATCTGTTTTATATAACGAAGTATTGAGAAAGAGAATGAATAAGGGTTAATAAAAAATAGAACTAAGGTTATTTTTCCCGACAGCTGATAAAAGAAGATGACAGGTGTACAAGCACCAAGCTAGAAGTGTTTTGCTACAAGCAAAACAAGAATGGTTTTTTTTCCCGCAAAATATTCAATTTTTTCTAAGAATATTTTTTTTCTTCTGGAATAGGCTGAAATTGCAGGGAGGTTTTTACATGTCCGGAATTGTAACATTTCAAAGTATGGTATTCTGGATCATACACTTCTGAAAAGGCACAAACTATCAACTCCTTTAGGGTAGGGAAATTGAACATTTCTAAAACACACAGTTATATTTTTCATACTTGTACTCCCATAATACTCATAGGCATCTTCCATGTCTTAGAAGGCTATGTTTATGATGTAAAATAGCCCACTGCAACAGACATTTGGTATAATTTTAACTTGCACAGAGATCAGCTATGTCATACAATGTTTTAATTAAATGTAAATTGTGATTTTACAAGCTATTTGGATGTTTATGATGTGCTATTTATGTGCTAAATTATATTGATTTCTGTAATAGCTAAAATATTTTGATAAATAAAGTACAGAACTGACATAATGAATTCTGTATCTTTTAAGATAACAAATTTGAAATTGCATTCATGAAATGAAGTAGTTTGAAATATTGGAGGGAGCGTTTTCCAGAGGGCTTTCCTTGGGAAAAATGTAAAGCAGGCAAAGCACTCTGTAAACATTGCTTCAAGATATCAATTATCTGGACTAATATTTTTCCCAGTTAAAAGTTGAAGGAAACGGACTTTCATTGGTGCGTGAAGGAAGCTAGCAGGACAGAACTTCCACATCTTTGGGCTATATCAAGAGAAGGAAATAGTTAGAATTTATTACTTTTTCAATTTTGGGGCTACATTAAGTCCTTGGTGATTCAGGGCAGCTTAAAAATGAGAACATGGTTAACTAGAGGACCAAAAGTAAGCTAACTGAAGGGGACACTACAACTACCTCAATCACAAGGCCTGGGAGAACAACCACATGTTGTTCATTTCTGGACTATCACGAGGATGGAAACTGCATGAATCAACTGAATGGCTTTAAGGATAAATTTTATATTATTCGATACTTGAAAAACATAATTGAACTTTTCAACTGTCTTTATGGAAAATGACAATAATCCAATTAAAAATAATATTTTTATTTTGTAGTACAGAACTTTTCTGACCAAAGCAATTTCTATTTGATATATCCAGTTGTTAACATACATCTGCAGGTATTAACTGTATACCTCTCTGTTGTTAACATGGTAATAGACTATTGAACAATTAAGAACATAAGGAACTGGTACGAAAATGAGCAACACAATCCACAGCTTTAGGTTGGACATCTATCATGAGTACAAAACATACAATATATGCAGTATATAAAACCTAGATTCAAAAATATATTGATGCTAATTATTAGATTTCTGCAACTCAACCATAAAAAGGGGCATAAAAAATTAAGAATGCTCATTGCATGCACAGCAGTGGTGGTATTCTACCGGTTTGGCCCGGTTCTGCCGAGCCGGTAGTGCTGATGAGCAGCGGAGACTGAACCAGTTCTCTCCAATGCTCTGCTGTTGGGCCCACCCGCCTGGGCTCCCATACTAACTTTTATTCCCTGCTTTTGAAGCGCAGCTGCTTTACACGGCACAGCAGATAGTTGCTCAGCAGCTGCTGAAGCAACGGAGTGCAGGATTGCAGGAGGTGAGTCGGAAAGCCTCTGCGCCTGCACAAAGTGCATTTGGCATGCACGCACATGGAAAGTGTATGCATGTGTGCAAAGCACGCCCACCAAGCCTAGCCCACTGAACCGGTGGTAAAAATGTTTGAAACTGATGGTCAGGTAAATTTTGCAATCTAAACATAGTGTGGTTAAGAGCAACAGATAGGTAAATACATCTAGAAATCTAGTTGAATATTTTAGAGTCAGTTCAGGGCAGCTGAGTTCCATAGGACTTACTTCCAAATAAGTATATTAAGGCTAATTTTCTAATACTAAGAAGTCTAAAATCTGTGGAATTTACTAATAAGCAGCATACATAGTATTGTATTGTTCATAAATTAAAAGGGGAATGAAACGTTTTTCAAAATTAGTCAAAGAGAAAATCATCATGCAATTTGTTCAGAAATAAAACTTTAGTAGTTGGGACTTCTGGTTTGTTCCTCATCGGAGTGGAATCCGTAATCGTGCACGGTTTCACTCAAACTCACTTGCTGGAGGGTCCCGATCGGAACCAGAACCACCCTGGTGAGGTGGTGAAGAAGGGGGAAATCATCTGGAGGGTTGCAACTTCCCTCCCTGACAGGGAAAACCCTACCAAAGGCAAGCTGCAGCAGTGGTCCTAAAATAGCCATCACAAAGACAAAGAACACTCAGGAAACTAAATTTTGTGCTGGAGCAGAGAAGTAGAGAGTGTGAACCAGGCAAAGGACATCGCTTTTGACCTACCCCGGTATTAAAATAAAGGGCTATCTTGGAGGGAAGTGTGTGGAAGCGGTGACCAGAGAAAGTGAAAAAGAAATTGGATCTTATAAAATTTGGATTGGATTAATTTGGAGGAGAAAATTTAAAGGAAAATACTTTAACACAACAAAGGTTTAGAAATTAAACTGGATAACTGTTGAATTATGGGCATAATTAAAGGGCATAATTAAATGCTGAAATTGTGTTGAAAAGAAAAGAAATATTAGCTAATGATTGAAATTAGTGAACTTAATAAAAGTATTATATTCAATAAAGAAAGTTAAAAGTAAAAGGACTCAAGAGCACCACTTGATGGTATAGGAAAACTTTATTGTTATAGAACCATCCAAGAGTATGGATTGTTGAAAATAAATTCAAAAGATACTGGCTGAAATTATATAGTGGACTCTGAGATTGAATATATCTATTAAAAAACAGGATTTTAAATATGAAGGAAGAGGAAAGAAAAGGAGAAGATATAATGGAGAAACTATTTGTTGATATAAGATTGGACTTACAAGAGTTAAGATTGGATTTGCAAGATATTAAGGGACATGATAAAAATTAAATTTGAAATGTGCAATTATGTACTACAGAAATTAGAAATGGTGACTCAGTATACACAAGAACAAAATAAACCAGAGGGGGGGGAGTTCTATAAAGAAGAAGCCAACATTGAAGGACAAAACGAACAACAATTATTTAAGTGGGGGGAAAGGAATTAGAATTAAAAATTTGGCCTGATGGGATGATAAAAGGGAGAATGGTTCGGAAAATGGATTAAGGGAGAGGGAAAAAGCAGAAAAAGGAAGGGCAAAAGAAAAAATCAAAAGAGGAATAGGAAACAAACAAGGATGAAAAGAAAGTACATTGTCCAAAGAGTAAGAGATAATGGGTGAAAATAAAAGGATAAGGAAGGAGATTCCACAAGGTAATATGTTGTGATGTATAAGAATATATTGAAAATAGTATTTTGTACTGTATAGATGATTCATAAGGTGTTTGAGAAAATATAATGCGGAATCTGAGAAAAAAATATATATTTGTATTATATATTAGATAGGGAGATTGATATTAAGGTAGAATGAAGGTAGTTAGCTCAAATTATTAACCAGAGGGGACAATTATATTTACAGATAAGGATTGATAAAATGACAAATGTGACAGAAAAAAGTAATATGAGAAATGACAACAGAAATGAGAATTTTAGATAACATTGTAAAATAAGATATGGGAATGTATTAATATAACATGAATTGGAATTGGATAAGGTAAGCTTAATATTTAAGAATAAGGATGATGCAATATGAAACTAAACAAATATAATGAACAGGTAACTATGGTCATGTTGTATTGAGATGTGAAACCTGGAACCACACTGCTTGCCAAATGAGAATTTTTTATTTTAAAAAATAAAATAAAAGCAGGGAGAAATGGAATAATGGAATTACTAGGTATGTTTAACTGATATGGTGGCATTTGGAGAGAGTTTTGAAAGGTTGAAAATCAGCATTGAAGGATTATGAATTAATGTGAAATATATGCATTGAGAGATATGATTGATATTATTAATTTTGCCTATACTAAAATGTATGATATATTGATGCCACACTGTTAATGTATTGTTGTGCACATGCAGACTGAAATAAAAAAATTTGGAAACAAAAAACTTTAGTAGTTGGCAGCAAAGCAAGTTGAATAATTAATATAATTTAATGAAATCTTATTGCTCTTAGCAATATATTCTAAATAAAACATTTAAAATAGCTGAACTTTTTTGTTGTAAGTTCAATCTTGATTGCTTTTCAAAGCTATGTAACATATAAGAACCTTTAGAATGTAAAATATATATTTAGCCTTTACATGGTTTCACAAACAGGCTGTTTCCCCTTGCCGGCATTGTAGTTTCTACATGGTAACTAGGGCCTCATAGTTTTCTGTTTAATTTGCATGCATTTATATGATTCTTAGTGGGCAATTAGGGTCAGAGGCTAGAGGCTTTTGCTACCTACCATATGACAAATAATTTCTTATATGAAATATAAGAATGTAAAGCTAATCCCAAAGTGTGTATTGCTACAGGGACTTTATCACAATGCTTTTGGTAAATGTTTGTTTTTACCGTATACTAATAGAGAGGGAACTATCAT